TCTTTTTAGTGAAACGAAATTCACATAGCACAAAACGGGCCATTTTAAAGTATACAGTTCGGCAGCATTAAGTGCTTCTGCCGTGTTGTGCAACCACCACCTCTCTCTAGTTCCAGAGCATCCCCATCACCCCAAAAAGAGACCCCATACCAGCCCCACCCACTAACCCCAGCCCAGCAACTGCCAGTCTGATTTCTGCCTCTGGATTTGCCTGTTCTGGATGTTTCCTATAAATAGAATCCTATAAGATGCCACTTTGTGTCTGGGTCTCTCATGGAGCAGCATGTCTCCAGGGCCGTCCATACAATACCTGTGTCAGAGCTTTGTTCTCTTTAAGGCTGGATAGCATTCCATCTTGTGGAGGGACTGTGCCGTCGACCACTCTTCAGCTAAGGGACTCAGGTGGTTTCCATGTTTGGCAGTTGTGGACCCTGCTGTGTTGGATGTGGGTGTGTAGTGATGTCTTTGAGACTGAGACTCTGCTTTCAAATATTTCAGTAAATACACAGAAGTTGAATTGCTGGATCGTGTGGTAATTCTGTGTTTAATGTTTTTAGGAACCACCATACTGTTTTCCACAGTGACTATGTCATTTACCTTCCCCTAAGCAATGCACAATGGTTCTAATTTCTCCACGTCCTCACCAACACTTATTTTCTGTTTTGTTTTGTTTTTTAAATTTGCATTTCTATAATCACTAATTATGTTGAGCATTTTTTCATGTACTTAGTGGCCACTTGTATATTTTCTTTAGAAAAATGTCAAATCCTTTGCCCATTTTTTAGTTGGGTTGTTTTGTTGTTGAGTTACCCGTGGGTTATTTTTTAAAGCTCAAATTGAAAATTCTAACATCAAAACTTACTGTGAGACCACAGTAATGAAAATGGGTATTCACGCATAAAGACAGACTATTAAATCAATGGAACAAATTCTAGAGTTTAGAAATAAACCTTTGGATTTATGGTCACTTGGTTTTCAGCAAAGGTGCCAAGACAGTTCTTTGGATGAAGAAAGGTGTTGGGATTATTGCATCTCCATATATGCAAAAAGACAGAGTTATGTCCCGTACTATCTACAAAAAATTAACTCTGAATATAAGAGCTAGAACTATAAAAACCTTTGGAAGAAAGCCCAGGAGGAAGTCTTTAGGACCTTGGGTTAGGCCTAGAGTTCCTGTGTTCAACTCCAAGAGCACAATCCATGAGAAAAAAAATGATGAACTGATTTCATCAAACTAATAACTGCTGCTCTTCAAAAGACACTGTTTAGAGAATGAAAAGATTGACCAGGTGCAGTGGCTCAAGCCTATAATCCCGGCACTTTGGGAGGCTGAGGCAGGAGGATTGCCTGAGCCTTCTTGGTTTGAGACCAGGCTGGGCAACATGGTGAGACCTTGTCTCTACAATAAATCAAAAATTTAACTGAGCATGGTAGCGCGCGCCTGTAGTTCCAGCTACTTGGAAGGCTGAGGCAGAAGGATTGCCTGAGCCCAGCAAGTTGAGGCTGCAGTGGCTGGGAGTATGCCACTGCACTCTAGCCTGGGCGATGGAGCGAGACTCCAACTCAAAAAAAAAGAAAGAAAGAAAATGAAAACATTAGCAACAGACTGGGAGAATATATTTGCATATCATATTTCTAATAAAGGATTTCCAGAATATATGACTCTTATAACCCAACAAAAAGGCAAACAACCCAAACAGAAAATAAAAGATATAAGTAGACATTTTGCCAGTGTCTACATGCAGATGGTTCATAATCACATGAAAAGATGCTGAACATCATCAGTCATTAGTGAAATATAAACCAAACCACAATGAAATAACCACGTCACTGTCACTGGAGTGACAACCAAAATGATAGACAATTCCAAGTGTTGATGAGGACATGAGGAAACAGGCATCTCACACACTGCAGGGGATATAAAATAGTGCGACCACTCTGGAAAATCATTGGCCATTTCTCAAAGAGTTAAATATGGATTTACATAGAACCCATCAATTCTGTTCATAGGTATCTACCCAAGAGAAGTAGATTTCTACACAAACATTCATAGCAACATATTTTCATAATAGCCAAATCTAAAAACAGCCACATGTCCATTAGCTGATGCCTGGTTGAACAAAGCATGGAGTACCCATGCGTGAAGTAGGAAGGAAGTAACTGCTGAAACATGCCCCAGTAGAAATGCATCTCAGAATCGCTTTGCCTAGTTAGTTCGCCCAGATGCACAAGCCTGCATGCTATGTGCTTCTGTCCATGGAAAGTGTCCAGAGGAGGCCAGTCTCTGGAAGGCAGAGTCACGGCTATGGGGCAGGGAGTGGGAAGGGGGGCTGACAGCAGAGGGGCATAAGGGACATTTCTGAGGTGATAGAGATGATCTGGAACTGCTGTGGTGACAGTTGCCCAACTGAACTGTATACTTAAAAGAGGTGTGTGTGAATTTTACTTTCATAAGGCTTAAAAAGTTACAAGCAGTTTATTAGTGTATTCAATATTAGTGTATATAAAAGATGTATATGTAGCCCTCCTCCCTGTCACTGTCCCCAGGCCCCATATGGAGAGCCACTCTGTGCTTCCTGCACCCATGCACATCTGAGCAAGAGGAAATGTGTTTTTGCCCCCTTTCATTACACAGAAAAAGAGACCTTGTGACCTGAGCCCTCCTGCTTTATGAGGTGGCAGGGCCTACACCTTCCTTGGGGAGCCCTCAGGCCTCTGTGCCTTTTTGTGGGGTTGGTGCAATCAGCTCCTCCAGGCAGTGCGGTTGTGCAGACCCAGCTCCCGCTCCGGACCCCACACACACTGCAGACCCTGCCCATGCTGCAGACTGGTGTTGATTTCTGGCTTGGTTTGCACTGCAGTTTACAGGGCTTACAGCACGCCACTTGGCCTGGGCACAGCTGACACTGAGTTCTGTGGGCTTATTGAGGGTAGAGTCCCCCTGCTGACGGTAGGGTACTCCATGGAGAGTCCGTACATCTGGCCTGTGAGAGAACAGGAATCCCACGTGGGTATGCATTTACTGTTTCTTAACCATATCATTTTGTCAGTGTGAGTTTGTCACTAGATGCATTCCTATTGACAACTGTTTCTCATCCTTAGGGGATTTTTTCTCATTAAGCTTTATTTCTTAAAGTCTGCTTCATCTGATATTAATCTAGCTGTGCCAGCTTTCTGTTGATTAATATTTGCCTGGTATTTCAGTCGTGTAAATATCTTTATTAAACGTGACACTTTTTACAGCATAGAGCAAGCTTTTAAAAAAATCAAATCAGAAAACGCTCTCAACTGGCAGGTTGTTTCCCATTCCGTGGTCACTGGTGGTCTTGAGTGGATCTCTTCACCCTTCCCGTGTGTGTCTTTCATGCTGCCCTTCCCTGTCTTCTGTGGAATGGGGAGCTCCTCTTCATCTCTTTTTGCCTCTACTGGTCTGCAAGTTACACATTCTGCTTTTGTTGTTTGGTGGCTACATGGTATTTACATGAATTTCTTACATTTCTGAAAGTCCAGAGTTAATGTGAGTCTGACCCCGCCACATGGGCTCCCAGGGACACTCAGGTGCCCCTGGGCTCATGGCCTTCTTGTGCCTTGCTTCTTTCTTTCTCCAGACACAGGGCCTATCTTCCTGCACTTGTCCTCCCATGGTTGCTTGTAGAGGGCTTTTTTGACGCCCCACTCTGTCTTCTGGGCCAGCTGCTTCCCAGCCAGAATCTGCTTCCTCTTCCAGTGGCTCCTGGGAGGCCTCACTGCAGCATGCCTGGGTTCCTGTTTCTTCTTCTTTCTTTGGTTTAGGGCTCTTGCCTCCTGGGCCTGGCGTTATGTCTTTCATTGTTTGTGGGGAGTCCTTGGCATGGTTTTTTAGGGTTTGCCTTTTCCCTGGTATTCCCGGCACACGTTCGTTGAACTCTTTGGTCTTAGTTTCTTGCAGCTTCCTTCATGTTGCTATTTCAGTTGGCGTCTTTGTTCTCACACTTCCTGTGGGTTACTGCCTCAAATGATTTTTTGGAGAGTTAGTCTGTCTTCTGCTGAGGCCTCTCTGTGGCTCGGCCGCCTACCAGGGTTCTGTGTCGGTGAGTGTACTTCTTATTTTTAGGAGATAGATCTAGTTGTCTCCGACGCCTGCCTGCTCTTTCTTTGCTTATGGCATCTCACATTTTTATTCCCTCTCTGCATCTTTTGTAGTTTAGACATACACATTTCAGTTGACTCCTTTGTTAATGTTTTGCCCTGGGCTTCCAGGTGCCTGATTGTGCCATTTATTGTGGCTGGCCCTGGAAAGGCACTTCTGCAAGCACTTCTCCTTCTTCATTCTCGTGCATCTCAGGTGGGGCTTCTTGGAGTCAGGGACTGGAATAAAGGTTTGTCCCTCCTGAGCAGACTCCCCTTTGCAACTCCAGGGTGCCTGTGGCTGTCATGATTCCACACCCACTTGTGGGTAGCATTTTCTCTCTTCTGGTTCCTGTCTCTTGCCTGGACTCTGTCCCCTGAAGTGCTGCCCACCTGGGAGGCAGCTGAGAAAGTCCAGCCATGACTTAGGTGAGGCTGCCCCTCCACTAGATGCTTTTCTCACCTCGCGAGTTTGCTTTTCCACTCACACACAGCGCTACTCCCTCATAGACCTTCCTGACATGTGTGCAGACCCTGCCTCTGGGTGCCTTGTGGCTGGAAGCCACCCAAGACAGATTTAACATGGAGATGAGACCTTAGCACCTGCAGTGGATAAGCAGCTCTGGGATTTACTTTGAAGTATCACATTAATAGGACAGAATTAACAGGGTCAGGTTGTAGTCCACAAAACGGCAAGCAGACAATAGACAATCTTGAGATAATGTGTATAAAATGACTGAAGTAAAATTCTTTTCTACAGTTTTGAAGTCAGAGCAGATTTCTGATTTCAGAAAGGTCAGCAGTCCTAGATGTAGGGGTTAGTGGGCAGCTCAGGAGTTCCCCCGAGTCGTGTCCGTGGGGCCCTCCAATAGCTGCTCTCTGCTTTCTCACAGGTGAGCATCTGCCTGGAGTGCAACAGCAGCAAATTGCGGGGACTCAAGCGGAAGTGGATCCGCTGCTCGGCCCAGGCCACCGTCCTGCACCTAAAGAAGTTCATCGCCAAAAAACTTAACCTTTCGTCCTTCAATGAGGTGAGAGTAGATCCCTACTCACTCTGTGCCCAGTCATTTCTTACTGTGAAAGCAATCCTTTTATTGTCCTTGGGGTTTGTGTGTTCTCAGTAAGTTTGTTTGGAGATTTTAACCAGAAAAAATATCTCGATTTGCTTGACCTGCCCTGGCAGGTGGCGTTATAGAAAACAACAGGGAGGATCGAAAGGCCAGAGGCCACGAACACGGAGACCCCTGTTAAGAGCAGAGAGAATAGGGGGTAAGATTGTTTTAAAATAGGTCACAGATTTTCCTCACAAACGGGTTAGGTGGGTGGAGGGTGGACAGAGATCCGAGTTGCAATAAATACTGGGAATGAAGTAAATCCTGGTGACCTGCTGGCGCAAGCGCATGGGGGCTGGCGCACCACCATGAGCACCTGTGGGCTCTACGCACTCACGGGAATGCCTTGGGCGCACGAACATGGGTCTCTGGGAGTCCCCAAGGCAGTGACTCTGCGCCGGTGCAGGCCATCAGTGGGAGGCCACCCTGCACAGACGGGAGAAGGCACTGGAGGCTGTGGGCAGGGGTCATGGCTTGAGCTCTTGTTTTAAAAGATCCTTTGGGTTGGGTGGAGAGCTCAGAAGTGGCAGCAGGAAGTACCGGTGGGCCAAGAGTCCAGGAGAGAAGAACCTGGTGGTGGTGGTCAAGGTCAGGAAGTAGCCCCAAGCACAACGGTGGCCTCAAAAGGTAAGCCTGCGTCCTCATCCCTGGAACTCATGAACAGGAGCTTAGTTGGAAAAAGGCTCTTTGCAGATGTAATTCAGTCAAGGATCTCAAGGTGAAATAATCCAACATTGTCTGGACGGACCCTGAATCCAGTGACAAGAGTCCTTGTGAGAGTGAGGGAGAGAAAGACTTGGGATGCAAGGAGAGGAGACGTGTGAAGAAGGAGGCAGACTGGAGCGAGGCAGGCACAGCTGAGGGCTGCAGGGGGCCACCAGAAGCTGGAAGCGGAACAAGGATCCTTGCGTTGTCTGATCACGTCCCCCAAAATTCATGTATTGGAAACGTCATCCCCAGAGCGACCCATCAGTAATGCCCCCCACGTGCAGACTCCGCAGGCCTGCAGTGTTGAGAGGTGTGGCCCTTTGGGTGCTTCAGTCAGAAGGGCTCACCCCCACGAGTAGACTAATGCTCCTACCGAAAGGGCTCGCAAGGGCAGGTCTGTCTCCTCTGCTCTTCCTCAACAGGGACATAGCAAGAGGCCATCAGAGATGCCAGCACCATGACCTTGGACTTCAGCCTCCAGAACTATGGGGATATCCTTATCAACTTCTGTTCTTTCTAAATACCCAGGCTGTGGTATACTGTTGTAGCAACACAGATGGACTGTGACACTCCTCTGGTACCTTCAAAGACAGCACAGCCCTGGATTGCAGACTTCTGGCTCTGGAGCCGAGAGTGAATTTCTGTTGTTTGAAGCTACCTAGTTTGTGGTGGTTTCCACGACAGCCCCAGGAGGCTAATTCAGAGAAGGTCCAATAGGTTACTGATGAGCTTGGGTGGGGCAGCAGAGGGAAGAAGGGTCAGGAATGACTCTGGGGTTTGGGCCTGAGCATCTCTGCACATAAGCTGATGTGGCTACTACCACACATGGTGAATAGGCAAGTATCAGCCTCCATGAGGTCATCAGAGGCAGTCCCAGCCCGGAGCTGCCCCCAAGCCAAGCAGGCACATGGATGGGAGGGAACTTGGTGATCACCAGCTACCTAGAGCCCACAGAGAAACCAAGTCAAGATACGGGGAGAAGAGAAGGGAGGAAATGAAGGCTTTTTGCTAAGTGTATATTGTTTTGTTTGCTTTTCTGTGCAGGGAGACAGAAAAAGGATGGTAGCTGGGTACAGAAGGAACCAAGGGGGTGCTTTGTGTTCATGTGGAGGTGGAGATGCTCAAGCTTGTTTGGAAGGGCAGTGGTGGGAGCAGGAGGGCCTGGGCAGAGGTGGGCTCTTCCCAGGCATAGGGATGCCTCCTCTGGAAACCACCCATGGGAAGGATGAGAAGTCTTTCCACCCTAAATGGTGGTCACCTCCTGGGTCCCAGCTGGCATCACAGATTCATCTCAGCCCCATGAGGGTCCTGGAGTATGCTGGGCTTTTCACAAACACTGGGTGACCACAGGACAGAGAGATCTGAGTGCTGAGGACCAAGAGTCCCTGGGACTGCCCACAGGACAAGGACACCAGCCACCCTGAGGACAGCTGAGCCCATGGTGGGTGCAGAGCCCTGAAAGCGGAGGGTGGCGTGTGCCTTAGCTGCTCACTAAGAGGGTCACTGAAGACAGTGCCAGTTACAAGGCAGCCTGTGAGATAGGTCCACATGTGGATCCCCCCGCTTTCATCAGGTGTGCTCTTCATGAGACCTGAACACATGGGCAGCTTCTGCAGGCACGATGTCCATGCCTCTCAGAGCTACCCTGGGATGCCCTGGCCACTCCAGCACGGGACCCTTCTCGCTATCCCCTGAGGGAGAAATTTGGAGGACCATCTGGGTCGGCATCATGTATCATCAGGGAAACACGCTAAAACAGCAAGGTTCCACTGCACGCCTGTGAGAGTAGCCAAAATCTAGAACACACTGACCACATGTGGGGCACCAGGAACTTGCATTGTGGCTGATGGTGCAGCCACTGGGAGGACCGTGCGGCAGCTTCTTACAAAATCAAGCACACGCTCCACAACCCTGCGATTACCCTCCTTGGTACTTTCCAAAGAGCTGAAAGGTTACGACCACACAAATCTGCACAGGGATGTTTAGAGCAGCTTCGGTCCTGATTGTCAACACTTGGAAGTGACCAGGACGTTTTTCAGGAGGTGAATGGATAAATAAACCGAGGTCCATCAGTCAGTGGAATATGGTTCAACAAGACAAAGAAATCCCCTGCCAAGCCACGAAAAGGCAGGGAGAAAAATGAAGTGCATGTTACTAGTAGAGGAAGCCATTCTGAAAAGGCTGCAGACTGCATGATCCTGGCTCTGTACGTTCTGGAAAACATGAGATGAGACTGTGGAAAGATTGTCGGGCTGGGGGAGGGGGGATGAATAGGTGGGCATGGGATTTTGAGGGCGGTGACTCCACTCTGGATATCGCCGGAATGGTGGACACACATCATCGCACATTGTCAGACCTGTCGACCGTCCAACGCCAAGACTGAACCCCAGGGTCCACTGGGGACTAAGATGATGGTAGCGTGTCGGTGTGGACCCGTAGACTGCAAGCTGTGCCCGACTCTGAGAGGAGGTTGGAGTAGGCTACACAAGCAGTGGGGGTAGAGGAGGTGGAAATTCTCTGTATGTTCCTCTCGGTTTTGCTGTAAACCTGAAATTGCTCTAAAAAATAAAGCCTATGTAATTTTTAGAAACATTGTCTGGGGAGTCCACGACCTTCTTCCACTGTGGTAAGAGGGACCAAGAAATGAGACAGGGACAGAGTCTCTTTGGGTAAAACAGCCTGGGGCTGCAGCCCAAGGAGGGTAGATTGCAAAAGTGGTGTGGACCCCCAGTGTGGTAGGTCTGGATGCGCAGTGTGGAGAGTGTGGACTCCCAGTGTGTGGGTGTGGATCCCCCAGTATCTGGGTATGGGCTGAAGCCCCCTATGGGTCCTTCTGGGACCTGCAGGGCTCCCACCTGTCCCATTATTCCAGAGCTCAAGGGCACCTGATCTGAGCTACTGATGCTCCTTGAGGCCCCGCTCTGACCACCCACCTGCAAACCTGCCTCCCGTTTCTCCGTGGGTGGCTGTGGTAGACAAGAGGTGACCAACCCCAGCCTCTCCAAGCCCAGGACAGTGACAGTGATATGACCATTCTTGAGGGGCAGGACCGAGGCGTCCTGGGTGTCACTGGAGAAGCAGGAGAGTGGGGGAGGAGGGTCACAGGGCAGCGGCCACAGGGGGTGGACAGCTCAGGCGCCCAGAGCCTCACAGAGTGACTGGACCCGCCCTTCTGTGACAGGCTGGGAGCCGCAGAGCCGCCTGCCTGCACCTGAAGGAGCCTGCAATGCACCAGGTATGTCTCTGGTGCATCACCACTCACATGTGGTGCCAGGTGTCCTTGGGGTGCAGTGTGGTACGTGCACAGGTGCACTAGGGTCAGCTCTGTGTGTGCTCTTCCCACATGAGGAGAGAGGACCCACTTCACACTCTGATGTTCTCTCATCTCACACTGGCACAATCAGCTGTGGTGCAGAGGACCAAGTGCAACAGGCCATGTACAGGGCGCCTCCGTGCTAACCAGCCTCTTCTCCTGCCAGCTGGACATTTTATGCAACGAGGAGATCCTGGGGAAGGACCACACGCTCAAATTCGTGGTTGTCACACGGTGGAGATTCAAGGTGAGACGCTCGCTTCATCAGTGATACGTGTTCTCTGCTATTTGGAATCTCTGCAAATGGCAGTGAGTTTTCTGTGCATATCTTTGATCTAAGTGCTTAAAGGTGATGATTCAGCCAGAGACTGCCATGAAATGCAGCTTTGATCTTTCTGAAATCACTGACCCAGAGTCAGCTTGGCCTGAGAAGGCATAGAGCCAGCGGCACTAGCTGGGCTCCAGCAGGCCAGGGTCTTCCCCCACCCGCCTGACAGATGCCGGGCCTGTGGGTGGGAAGGGCAGTGAGCGCCCCGGGCAGGGCCTTGGAGACTATGGGTGCCTCTCTCTGAAGCAAGCAAGACGCCCACGGTCGCATCCCTCGGCCCCCAGCCAGAGCAGCTGCCTGGAGAAAGGGGGTGAGACCCAGGGCTGACCTGCAGCTGGGTCCAGGGACTTGAGGGGGAAGAAAGGGGAGCAGTAGAGGAGGAAAGGGTAAGGAGGGCAGCGTCAGGGCTCCGGTGTGCCAAGGCGGTCACTGGGTTGGCCGGAGGGCAGGGGCTCTTCCTCCCAGTCTTGCCCTACCAGAAGGTCTCAGTGTGGCCCTGCTCACAGACAGGTCTCCCAGGGTCTCGGTGCAGCCCTGCTCATGGATGTTTCTCCTGGGGTCTCAATGCAGCCCTGCTCGTGGGTGGGTCTCACGAGTATTTTCAAGCACGCGTCCTCAGTCTTTATCTCCTTCTAACTTGTCAGTTTGTTTCTGTCCCCTGCTGGCCTTTCTTGCTCATCGTGCTCTGCGATCTTGTTGCTTTTAGAAGGCACCACTCCTGCTGCACTACAGACCCAAGATGGACTTGCTGTGAGTGGCACTGCCTGGACACCCACAGACTGGCCTCGCACCCTCAGCGTTTCACGCGGGCTGTTCGCACGGCTGCCGCACTTTGGAATGTTGCCCCGGGTGTCATGTGGACCCGACTTCTGAATAGAGATATTTATAACTTTTGTATGCGAGAACTCACACTCAACAAGACACTACCAGCACCACGTTTACAGAGGATGAAAACACTTCACAGTCTCACGTAGCTGCACAGCGCGTCTCCCGCTCAGTCCCGAGCCAGCGTCACGTGTGCAGCGCGACACAGCGTTGAAAAGCCACCTTCCAACACAGATGACCTTTGCTTGTTTTCCAGGTCTTGAACATCGGAGATTGTTTTGTTTAGTTTATTAATTAGGTTTCATGATAAGCCTCAAAAATAGTTGTGCTTTTATTGAGTCCTTCCTAAGTTATTGAAAAAGTATCTTTTCATGGTAAATGACAATATTTATGTTGCCTTTAGCTTCTTGAAGACTGAGAGGATATATAAAAATCTAATTTAAAAGCATACCAAAAGGGGTTTCCATTGACATCATAGTGTAACCATGGGATTTAATTTTCACCTTAAAAAATACAACAAGGACAGCATCTGGTCTCTGAGCCTTTATGCTGTGAGACGCTATCCCCGGTCACTCGGGACAGAGGCTCAGGCAGGGTTGGGCAGGGAGGGGGTCCTCCACCCCTGTGGCCCTGACCCTGGAAATGGGCCCAGACCTCACAGTGGAATTTCCACATGCTCAGCAGGTAGACCAGAGGCAGTGTGACCAGCTCAGCATGGCTTACAGAACAGTTCTTGTTTTTAAAAATTGCTTTTATTAAAAAGGCACTCAGCATTCAGTGCCATCTTTGAGTTTCCTTCCGATTTTTTTCCGTTTTTGTTGCTGAAGGAGAGGTGGGTTAGTAGTGTTCAGTGCTCTTCCTGGAGGCTAGGGGAGGAGAATCTGCTAGGGTAGCTGTGGGTTTGCCCGAGGCGTGTGGCCCACGGTAGCCAGGCGTGCTGAGTCCTCCCTCTTTTGTGTTGTGTGTGGTGTGCACTGTGGCCGTGACCAGTGGTGTCGTGGACGACGGGTGGGCGGAGGAGCCGGAGCTGCATGTGGGTCACAGACAGTCCAGGTAGCCCCCTCCTCCCACGTGGTAACGTGTTTGTCATTAGAGGATAGACTCTTTGCCAGCACATGAACAGTTTTTCCTTTGAAACAAGAGCTTGGCAGGCGACAGGGGAGAGTGAGGAGAAAGGAGCCGCATTCTGGAGTGGGTGAAGGGCTACCGCTGCCACGTCCTTGTCACATCTGTCTCACTGACCCTCAGACTTGCTCCCCCCCCCTCCCTCCCATCCTGCCGTCCTGTCTCCGGGGGCCACCATCAGGTGAGTAGCTCACCTGGGGTCTGCGTTGGAAGTTAGGCTGGCTCCCCGTGCTCAAATCTGTGTTTTCTTCTGCTTCCTGTCAGATGTAAGTAAAAGGTCAGAAGAGCTACTAGTGATACCCAATCTTAGGGGTGAGGAAACATTTGATTGATTCCGTCCAAGTGATTTTTGACATATGGCCTTTTCGAAACACAAAAACGAATTCTCTGTTAGGAATTGGTCAACACTCGCCCCTTATTTAAGCCCATTAGCTCCCAGGACGGTTTGAATTATTCGTTGCCTAAGCTTGCTATTCATCCACATCGTCGTTTAGAGTTGCTCTCTGAGGGCTTATGAGTAGATGTGTATGAGTAAATATTACCTGTCTACCTCAAACTTCACACACTGCTGAAGCGTCTGTAAAACCATACACTATCACAGTGCAGTTTTAAGTGTACCGTTAGAATTTAGGTCTTTTCCTGTGTGGTGAAACTACGGAAGGATTAGTTATGAGCCCCAAATTCAAGTAAAATTAATCCACAGGTCAGATTAAACTTCATATCGCTGTAATAATCTCATAATATATATTTGTAACTTTGTAGCTATCTTGAAATCACTTGACTTTGCTATGGTGCTAAGTTGATATATTTAAATACACAGAGATGGGGTAAATCCAAGCCAGGACCGACATCCCCGCTGGTCGCAGCCTGCTTTTGTAATCGTATTAACCCGACAAAACCTCAGCAGCAAGAGTACCTATTTTTCTAAGCGTTCGTCCTGCAGACTCTTCGCTGCAGGACGACTTCCCTGGGGACCTTCTGCCTCTCTGGTCTGACTTTGTAGCCTTACATGTTTAGAACCTGCTGTTGGATGGAAGCTTCCCGGGGGGTCTCGTTTCCTTTCTGTCAGGCTCTCATTTAACATCAAAAGGCTGAATTTCATTTTTCCCAGCATGAAAGCCAGGATCAGTTAATGATTGGATCCTATTAGGTTTTTTTAACAGATGGAGTTACTGTGAAGTAGTTTTCGCAACCATTTATGCTGGTAAAACAGATGCTGTTAATTACCGTACGCACCGTCTTCAGCAGCAGTGGGCTGACTACCCAGAGTACGGTTTCACTAGACACAGTTTTCATGAAGATAGAAAATTCAGATAGAATATATAATATTGAATTTAAGATTTGGGGGGTTAAAAAGAAAACTTTATAAAATTATTTATTCTATTTTAAGCCTTCTATCATATTTTCCCATCCAGTTGTTTGGTTTCAGTGGTCCAGCTTTATTTACAGGCATATAAAATGAAATTGTGAGATGTTTTGCAAGCTTCTTTTTTCTTTGAGTAGCTTTTAATTTGTATGTTTTTGTTTTATATGGATGAAGAGCATTTTTATGCTTTTGTGCAATAGGTTCCAACATGCATTTATTAGACATCTGTTGAAGTTGTAATGTAGCATTTATTCTGCTAAATTGAAAGGGAATATAGGTGAATTTTGAAATGTGTACATTCAGCTATTTGTTTTTTCCTTTTTCATTGTTATGGTTATAAGAATGCTGTTATTGGGAGGGGGAGAGAGAGAGAGAGTGAGAGTGTGTGTGGTGTGTGTGTGTGTGTGTGTGAGAACACCTGTCAGCAATATTTACAGACACATGGCCGGGCAGGCAGCCAAAGATGGCAGGAGTGACCACCCCAGATGGACCTCAGGCCGCCCTGTGGGGCCACCGCTTGGACCCTGCTTGGGTCCTGGTGCCCTTGAACTTGCGTGCTTTCAGCCGAGTGCCCTGAGGTTGGACCCTGTGGCCTCAGACTATAGATGTGAAGGTGCTACCCTTGCCTGAGCCCTCTGGCACGTGGCCCCTGCTGTCTGCACATGCATTCCCGGTCTTTGGAGTTGTGTTTGGTTTTTTTCCTAAACGCGCACAGGATAGCATTTCACAGTGATTTGAAATGTGGCATTGGGCTGAATGTTCTAGGAACAAGCCAGCTGATTTCTACATTGTACGTGAACATGTAAGGTGCTCTTAAAACATGGAAAATAAATTAGTGCAGATAGCTGAATCATAGACACCCAATTTCTCTGTTTCCTCAGGAAATCGTTTAAGCACCGCCACATCACATGTGACCTTAACATGACAAACAGATGTATTTCTCTGCCTTGGTATTTAAATAAACTAAGTAAATAAGTTGAGATAAGTGGATTAGAAAATTGTTCAAATTGTACTATAATCTGTATAAATACTGTGTCCCCTGCCAGGCAGGGGATGGAACACAGTGACAGCTGCTCGGGCCTGAGGCTCCCATGGGGAAGTATGGAGCGGAGTCCTTGTCTTGGAGTGACAAACAGTGACCTGAAGTTTGAGCACCCCAAGATGTGCATAGCTTTAGTGGAAGGGTCTATGCCAGCGGCTGAATTGGGTATCAGAAATGTACTTCTCCCAATGAGAGTATCGGGGGGGTAAGGGACAGTAGTTAACCTCTAAGCCTTCATCACCAGTGCGTGGCGACAGATGACGCAATCAAGGTTTATGGAAATGATGGTGCAGATGCGTATTTTTGACTGTTTAATTTGAAAGTTTACATTTTTTATGCTTTGTGTTGATGTGTAAGTTTTGTACTATTGGTGGCTAGTTTTTGTCTAAAATCTTTTTTGGAATATTGCTTCAATGTTTTGATTTTATGATAGTGAAGCTTGTATTCAGTGTTTTGCCAATTAATATTATATGCTTGTAATAAAAGCAAAAGAAAAACCTAACTAAAAATCTCTCCAGCTGGAAGTGTATCATATAAAATGTTTGAGCACAAGATAGGCCATTTGCTTGTGTGATGGGAAATCCCATGGTGTTGGTACATACCCTTTGGCTGCCCTGCTGGGCACATGTTCACCACATGCACTTGTGTGCACACAAAGCCACACCTGTGAGCGTGCTGCTCCCTGTCTTGCCCCAGCCTCAGCCCTCCCGACTTAACCACCCTCCTGATTTGGTCCACGTGGTGTTTGTAAATTGTTACTCTGGGTGAAAAACTTCATTTAAATGGATCTTGTGTTTGGAACCAGAGTTCTAGTTGCAACTGCATAGCGCATGCTGTCCATCTGTTTGCAGAGAATCTGCTTGGGTTTGGAGCTGGGTTTGCCAATGAAAATACCACTATAAACAACCCACTGATTCCCATGGGTGGGCCAATGGACACATAATGTTTGTCTGACATTTTGCCAAAAAGAAAAAGGAAAAAAGCACTATGGCCAAAACTTCCATTTATTTTTTAAGGTTAGGTACTACAATATGACAAGTTTGAAAACTGAGAAAGCTAGGATTGGAAGGAAAGGAGAATATGACCAGAATTGCATACTCACAGCCCTAAGATCAGGAAACTTTAAAAACACATTCAGTCTTTAAAAATGACTTAAAGTTTAGTTTACTTATTTTCAGCAAGTCATTTATTCCATCTTTTAGAAATGTCAATATTGGCTTAAACCACGTGTAAATGTTGACGTTGCCGGAGACAGCGGAAACTGCAAGGCATGGCAGGAGCACAGGTCCTCAAAACTGGGACCTCCAGTTGGCAGATGGGGCACAGACCAGGTGGCACCAGCAGCTCTGGGTCTGAGGGCTTTGGGCTCCCTGCATCTCCTCTGGTCACATCCATCAGTGGCAAATCAGGGCAGCAGAAGGGCTGGGGACCCTGGTGTTCTGGCTGCAGAGCCAGTCTTGACCTCACCACTCTGCGGGTGGTTTTGTTTCTCCCGTGCAATTCTGTGTGCATAAGTGACAGTCCCATGTTCATCATGTGTCATCACAGACACATGATCACATGAAGGCCAAATGGTATCCCATAGAGTGCAACAGATGGAGGGAAGAGAGATGGACGTTTGTGGTGACACAGCCCAACGCAGGTTACACTCATGTGCAGGTCGGCCCAACCTCCACAGTCAAGGGACATATTACCTCTGTTGGGGGTTTTAAGGATAAAACCCCCTCCAGGTGCACCAAGTCCCTCATGAGGGGTTACGGAGGCCAGGCCTGCATCGGGGGTGGCCTGTATAGGTCATTGCTCCTCAAGGACTGCATCAAAAGGTCCCTTTCCAGAAAAAATTACATCACTGCCTTCTGCATATGTGGAATTGCAACTGTGCTGACGTAAATACCAGCCTGTTCTGTGACCCAAG